TTGCACATTGATTCTGCTTCGGATAAATCAAATCCCAAATCCAAAGACCAACCCAGTGTTTTAGAATCAACAAACCAGGAAGTAGTAAACCAAACAAGCAATAATACAGCTTCATTGCATTCCTCGAATCCTCAATTATCAAGTCAGGTTTTGTTAGCTACAGCGTTAGTTTTAGTGCGGGACAAATTTGGAAACATGCATCCCTGTAGAGCTTTGCTTGATTGTGGTAGTCAATCAAATTTCGTAACAGAACAGCTCTGTTCTCGTTTGCATCTTAAAATGCAAAATGTCAACTCTACAGTTTGTGGCATCTCTGGTGGTCTTTCTAATATTAAATTTAGAACTGAAATTGAAATAAGTTCCATGCATAGTGGGTTCAAGGCTAAAATATCCTGTTTGACACTTAAATCTATAACTGAAAATCTCCCATCTATTAATTTTGATCCTCGCAGCTTGAGCATTCCTAGCAACATTCAGTTAGCTGATCCTGGGTTTTACCAAAGTGGAAGTGTTGATCTTTTATTGGGAGCATCAATATTTTGGGAAACTTTGTGTGTGGGTCAGATAGCTCTTGGTGACAACAATCCTTTTTTGCATAAAACTTGTTTCGGATGGGTCCTATCTGGAAACTATTTGCTGAACAAACCAGTCCAAAAAGCGAACCAACAGGCTAATCTATATTTATCTTATCATTGTGCCGAAACGACTCAAGTGGACGATTTGACAAAATTTTGGGAATTAGAGGAGGTTGCTTATCCTCAAAAACCGAGCAAGGATGAAGAATTTATTGAATCCCATTTCAAAACCAACGTTAAACGCCATCCTAATGGTAAATTTATTGTTAAGATTCCTTTTAAGAACAATGTTGATGATTTGGGCGAATCTCGGAATATAGCTTTGAAACGTTTTTATGCGCTTGAAACCAAACTAACAAAAAATCCTCAACTCAGAAAGAACTATGAAGACTTCCTTGCTGACTATGAATCGCTCGGTCATATGACCAGAATAGACGAGACTAATATTCCTGAAAGGTCATGCTATCTTCCGCATCATTGTGTGATAAAGGCATCCAGCACAACAACGAAGCTGCGTGTTGTTTTTGATGCATCTTCTAAGACTAGCTCTGGTTTGTCGTTGAACGATGTACAAATGGTCGGACCAGTGATTCAAAAAGACCTATTGACATTGATCCTAAACTTTCGTTGCTATACTCATGTTCTGACAGCAGACTGCGAAAAGATGTATAGACAGATTTTACTGTCTGAATCAGATAGGAACTACCATCGTATTTTGTGGCGGTTTAGGCCAGAGGATGATGTTAGTTGTTTTGCTTTGAACACAGTCACATACGGTACCTCTTCTGCTAGTTATTTGGCAACACGAGTTCTTAAGGCTTTGGCGGATCAGCATCAAGATGCATATCCCGTGGCTTGCGATATCATTCGCAACAGTTTCTATATGGATGACATGCTGACAGGTGCTGAATCTGTCGAGGAATTGTCAGCTATCAAACGTGATGTTTCATATGTTTTGCAGCAAGGTGGCTTTAATCTTAGGAAATGGTTATCCAATAGTCCTTTCATGTTCGAAACTAATCAGGACTTTCAGCTTTCGCTTGGAAAGGATATCAATCAATCAACCCTTGGTATAGTTTGGAATCCCAAGGCTGACATCTTCACGTACAAGGTTTGCAGTCTCAACAATCATAACAGACTCACCACTAAACGCTCAATTTTATCGCTAGCCTCTCAAGTGTTCGACCCACTCGGATTGCTATCACCTCTTATTATTGTGTCAAAATTAATCATGCAGAAACTATGGCAATTAAGATTATCGTGGGACGAATCTATACCATTGAGTTTGCAAACTACTTGGAATAATTTTCGTGACCATCTTCATGAGATAAACAATTTGGAAATTCCTCGACATGTCATAATTCCATCCGCCGTCATAATTCAGCTCCATGGCTTTGCTGACGCGAGTCAAAAGGCATACGGTGCCTGTATCTATTTGCGATCATTTGATTCAGCGGGTTCAGTAAAGGTTGGTTTACTTTGTGCCAAGTCTAAGGTGGCGCCATCAAAGAGCACTTGCACTCTTCCGCGCCTTGAACTTTGCGCTTATCTTTTGTTGTCAAACCTCAGTCACAAGGTTAAAACATCACTTAATTTGGAAGTTAGTCAATTCTTTTATTATTCGGACTCTACCATAGCTTTAGCTTGGTTGAGGTCAGACCCACAAAGGTGGAAAATATTTGTTGGAAATAGAGTCTCAGAGATTCAACGACTCACTGATCCTAGTGACTGGCATCATGTCGTATCTGCTGAAAACCCTGCTGATTTGGTTTCTCGTGGTGTTGAACCCAAAACATTAAGAACTTCAAACTTGTGGTGGTATGGCCCTCGCTGGTTAACTAGCAATGATTCTAAAGGCTGTGTCGATAGCGTTAATCTTGACGATATTGAAGCTGATAGTGCTGAGCTCAAAGCTAAAACTGTGACCTTATGTTGTTCAGTAGAAGAGTGGAACGTTTGTAACAAATTTACATCTTATCTTAGGTTGCGCCGCGCAGTGGCTCAGTGTTTTAGATTTGTGGCCATTCTTAGAAAAAGACTAAACATAGAGCAAGATGAACCTATTAAACCCTTTACCACCCCATTGTCAGTGAAAGAACTAGATCGTGCGCACACTCGCTTAATTACATTGGCACAGAAACAAGCATTTGCATCTGAGCTCAAGTCTCTTAGTTCTAATCAACCTCTGAATCCTAAAGGCAAATTATTGTGTCTTAATCCTTTCGTGGATGCTAAGAATTGGTGGTAGACTCACTAATTCTGAATTTAGTTTTGATAAGGTACACCCTATTATCCTTCCAAACCATCATCCAATAGCAAAGCTGATTGCATTTGATGAGCATATCAGGTTAATGCATTGTGGCCCTCAGCAGATGTTGTACTCACTTCGCGAACAATATTGGCCTCTATCTGGTCGTAGTTTAACAAAAAGAATCCTGCATGAGTGTGTCACTTGCTACCGTGCCAACCCAAAAAATATTAATCAAATAATGGCTTCTTTGCCAGCGGAGCGCCTGCATGGTTCTTTTCCATTTCAAACGACAGGTGTTGATTACGCAGGTCCTATTTTACTGCGCGATCGCAAGACTAGAAACTACAAAACTATCAAGGCTTACGTCGCTATTTTTATTTGTTTTTTGACAAAGGCCATCCATATCGAGTTGGTGACTGCGTTAACCTCCGAATGTTTTATCGCAGCACTTCGTCGCTTTATAGCCCGTAGAGGCGTGCCAAGTGATATCCATTCTGATAACGGCACGAATTTTGTGGGTGCAAAATCTAAATTTGACGAACTCTCTGAATTTTTGCACAATCACTCAAATCAGGAGGCTGTTATTAATTATGCGTCAACCAAGGGAATAAATTGGCACTTCATTCCGCCTCGAGCTCCGCACTTTGGTGGGTTGTGGGAATCTGGGGTTCGTTGCGTCAAGTCACATCTTAAAAAGGTAATTGGCTCTGTCACCTTGTGCTATGAGGACCTTTCAACTATTCTAATTCAAATTGAAGCTGTCTTGAATTCTAGACCTTTATATCCCATGTCCAATGATCCTGCAGACCCCAACCCAATTACTCCTGGCCATTTCCTAATTGGGCGAGCCCTTACATCATTACCGGACCAACCTATGCAAGGTATTCAAGAAAATAGGCTCCAAATGTATCAAAGGCTCCAGAGACTAGTTCAAATCTTTTGGGACCATTGGCGCAAGGACTACTTGAGCGAATTGCAAGTCCGCTCAAAATGGAAGACAAAGTCCTGCTGTATCCAGAAGAGCGACATGGTAATTGTCAAGGAGGACAATTTGCCTCCCTGCCTTTGGAGGCTGGGCCGTATTGTGGGAACCCAACCAGGTTCGGATGGACTAGTTCGTGTCGTGACCATTCAGTGCCAAAATGGAACTGTGAAAAGACCAGTGACAAAAATCTGTCCGTTACCGTTACCTAAGAACAGTGAAGGTGTATTATCAGAATAAATTGATTTTCTTTTGTTGAAAGACATTTGGCTTTCAAAGCGGGCGATATGTCCAATAATTTAATCTAAAACTGTGCGCGTACGATTATCAAAGTTTGATGACGGCAACACTGCAATCGTAGCACTTGTGGCGAGCCGTAGAGCTCGTAGTCACTACCCCACCTTGGGACAAGATCCTCTCCGAATATGCAGTTAGTCGGCAGCGAACTACGCAAGGTGTATCTACGTAGCAAGAATTCAGTACCTTTTAGTTTCGCTACTCCTTGCTTGTAAAATTTAGAATAAATTGAGTTAATTGGCATAATTTACATACAAAAAGTTGTTTTATTTTACAATAGGCTCATTTGACAGATTCAAATCACCGGGACCAGATGGAATAATACCAGCACTTCTAAGAGAGGCGGTGGACCTTGTCGCACCCCACCTCCGCAGACTGTACAGAGCCAGCCTGGCAACAGGCCATATTCCTGCGTCCTGGAGAGAAGTAAAAGCGGTCTTTATCCCAAAACCTGGCAGAGACCCATCTCAGGCCAGGTCATACAGACCGATTACCGATCAGGAAATGAAAAAGCAGATGCTCTGGCAAGAGAAGGATCGGCAACCAGTTATACTAGTCCTGAACCGGCAATTGGCACCACAAAATCATTGGTAAGAACAAAAATAAACCAATGATGGGTGTATAGACAACACAAAACCTGCTGACAAACTCTTCCGAAGCTCAGACACAGTAAGCTAATTATACAACAACCATCACCTAAACTTACTGAAGTAATCCTACAACTAAACAGAAATCAAATCAGGCTAATAACTGGACACTAGCCTGAGAAAACACCTTCACACAATGGGCGTCCTCCAAGAAGATCCCATGTGCAGACTTTGTGACGAGGAGGATACATCATTTTCTGCCTCATGGTACCTACTAACATTTTTTGCTGTTAAATGAAACACTGATGTACACATTGTCAAAAAAAAATTATAATAACATTTTCAAAACGGAACGTAAATATTCATTTATGGACAATTCGGGTTATAAAAAAAAAATATAACTTACCTATCTATTACAAATAATTATTATAATCAGGTATTTTGATAGTACATTCTACAAAGCTTATTTCACCACTAGATTAGGTAGTTGACTAATTGATGAAAAAGTTTAAATTATTTTGTTAAAGCAGTGATGCAAAAAGTACTTAGTAATTATGCAATAAACACATAAGATTTTAGTGAGTGCTTAGGTATAGGTCTATGCCTCGAGAGTTTGTGCTGACAATCAAAATAAACATAATGTAATGTGTCAGGGTTACCTTATTGTCACTTGTTACACATCCTAGGATTTGAGTAAACTAATAGGACGTGCTTTTTGCGACCAAGATGTACTATTCGGGATGACCCAAATAAAAATATACAATAATTTCCAAACCTTTATTAGGTAGGTATGAAATGGGATAAGTAAGGTGGCAACAGCACCCCGCTGTTTCTTTGGTTGCCTATCTTTTGAAAAAAGTGTTGCTATGGATTATTTTTCAAAAATATTGCGATTTTTTTTTTGCGCCTTCAATGCAATTTCACAAAAATGGGTCTTTGCGTGCATGTGCACGAGGTGCTGTTGCCACCTTAAGAGAGAAAATTAATTTTTAAATGAAAATTATGCTTAGTGTTGTCCGCTGCTACAGAAAATTTGAAACGCTGGCTTATCACTTTTCATACCTTATTATCTTATTAGGTTTAAAATATGAAGGAACTCTTTTTCATTTAAAATGCTAGTGTGTTAACCAAGAATAAAAATGCCAATAAATAGAACCAAAAATGTTTTAGTTGATGTTATTAATGTTATAATAAAGCTTTCTGGAAGAATGCGTGGAGGAACAAGTTTTAGTTCATTGAAGCTTATCGCATTTTGTTTAAATATAAAGCAATATTTGGAGAATTAGATGTGCTCTGCCAATATGTTCCAAGCACTAGGGTCATTTTCATATTAATTATTTGATCACACAATAAATTTCATCATTCTCTTATTTTTTTGTTACATTTCGCGCGAATCGTTTCAATATTTTTTTGCCCACTATCTTTATCTTTCTGTGCTCCTATCTCCCTGGATTTCCTCGATGAAAATTTCACCAAAGGCACTATGGGACTTATCTGTTATTTAAAAAAATGGAACATTAAATTTTTTATCAAAACTATTAAATGCATGAGGTTATTTGAACTTTTAAACAATAACCTCAATTTAGTGAATAGAAAGTTAGCGTTATTTTTTATTAACACATAGTTACTCAAAGCATAGTAAATATTGCACATGGTACCACCATTGAGCATTTTAGAAATTACTTTCTAAAGGCGGCCCTTGTGGCTTTCTTCTAGGCTCTAAATTGTCCATAGATTGATACCGTTCTTCAGATGACGAATCAGAATCTAATGTAATCCTTGAAGCCCGCCTCATCTCCTCCGACTTTCTTCTTCTTCTTTTTCGTCTAATTCGATTTTTCTTGTTTATATCTGCCGCACTCCCGCCCAGACTAGCTCTGGAGCCAAAACTGTGAACACTTCCTGCTAAGCTCGGATGTGACGCGCTTACCATTGGCATTAAAATGGCTTCGTTGTAGGATGGAGGACGCTGAAGTTCTCTTGGATCAGGTGCGGTCCGATCCTCTTCATATTCTATCTCTCGTTGTCGTTCGTGCATTCTGCTCAAGGCTTCACGCTCCTCGGCTCTTCTAGCTTCATCTTCAAGCCGAAGACGTTCGTCTTGCATGCTTTTAAATCGTCTTATTATCACCAATGCAAATAAAGCTACCACCATTGCGATAACAATGCCTAGAGAGTAATACCACATAGTGTCCTTTTTAACACGGTTAGGGTACCATTCTGCAATGCAAGCTTCTTCCCACGTTTTACCTGAAAAAAAAAAATCAATAAGTATTCGACTATCAAACGTTACACAATAAAGCAGAGGTAATAAGGTCTAAAAATGGATCAGAAAAAAATTAAAATCGAAGTTGAAAACATTATTTACTTAGAGATGTCAAATACCTCGATCTGAGCCTTATAGTTTTTTGTAAAAAAAATCTTTTCTAAACTAAAAGCAAGTTTCGTTAAATTTAACTAAAAAGTGGAAAGAAATGTAAAATGGGACGGCGAGGCCAATTTCAAGGTCGCACCCCTTACTTTGACTCGCTCTAGGGCGATTTGTAAAATCGTGAATTTTTAAGTCATCGGACCGCTTATAAAACGCACTTATGGCAAATTTATTCAAGATTTAGATAGTTTTTGAATAAGTGAAATTGGATAATCCGTTCTTTCTCTGACGCACGAAACGTAAAATGGGGCGGCGAGGCCAATTTCAAGGTCCTCCTTCTTTGACGCGCTCTAGGGCGTTAACTATAAAAGATAGAATAGAGCTGTCACGCAGTTTTTTAATCATCATGCTCTAAAAGATTTTATCAAAAAAAAAATCTATTTTGTTAAGCCGTATTAGCAGCGTTCTACCACAACTGCAATTTTTTTAAAAAAAACCGCCCCCATTCAGCTCGCCCACCCGGCCGGGTTGACAATATACTTTCTCCATTATCAGTCGGCGCAGTTCGTCGTGAGACCTCCTGTATTATTCAAAATAGAAGAAATTGGACACCTTTGCTGATAAAGGGCTGATTGAACAGGCTAACCTGAAATGCTAATTATATTTTGTATGTAATTAGCGAAATTTCATCTCTACACTAATTTCATGACATTATCGCATTTTTATTGGAAGTTTACATTTCTGCATCGGGTAGGAGATATTATAGTAGGGTCTAATATGACTTTTCGTTTTTAGGTCGTGCTAAAATTGTGAAATAAGTTTGAATGTGTAGTAAAGGACTATATTAAACCATATTGACTTGCTGGCACTCTCAAAAATGGTTGGTAATTTTTTCACAGGGGGTTAAAAAATGGCGAACTTGACAGGTTTCGAAAATGCTAAGAAATTTAAATAAAAGTGATAATTGGCATTGAAAATTACATAACTACCTAAGTTTTATAAAAAAAAATCTTGAAATTTATAACAGTGAAGTTTTGGTAATAAAATCAGTAGTAAAAGTAGCTACAGGGTGTTCCAAGATAAGCATAGGTACAAGGAAGTTCCTCAAAAACCGATTTTTTCACTGTTCCGATAATCGGAACAAGCCTTTTGAAATCCCCTTTCTGTCTGGAGTGTCGAACGGGTTTTTATATGGATGCAGTAGGCGATATATACTATGCATTAACAACAGAACAAAAGTTTAGTTACTAGGAAGTTTGTTGATAGAGTTTCCAGGGAACAATTTTGATGAAGGTTTAATTTTTCAATGTAGTTCATCGAGACTTACTTTTGGGACTTGAATCGGCTTTATTTGTCTAGATTTAGTTAATGATATTCGAGCATGGTCGAATTGCGCAAGAGCCTGAAGACGATACACTTTTTGATATTGAGCCCTATATTTCCTTGATTTATAGCGTCTTGGAATGGCCAGAATAAGAAGTAAATTCTCCTATATTATGTTTAAGTCATTTAATTATGACGATATGTTTTCAATAAAGTTTAACTTTCGTAAAAAAAAAAATCTCTTGAGTCGGTTGCGAGTAGATGTCTTGATTTAGTAGTTCCGGCTCACAGACTAAATATTTGCAAAAAAGCGGTTACAGATAACGATGAAGGGCTTTTATGTGAAAAGTGTTTTGTGTATGGAAACACAGAACCTGTCTGTCAATGGCTGCTAAAACCTACCAGAAAATCAGTAGATCAACGGAAAAGTGGTTCTGTAACCCATGCCAAGAAAAACCCCGAAGGCAAGTGTCAAACAACGAAATCATGGAGAAACTTGAAACTATGGGAAAGCAATACAGTGATTTGTTAGATAAATATAAGGAACAGCTGCAGGTTAACAGAGAGCTAAGGGATGAAATAAAAAACCAGCTAAACAAAAGTGAACAGAAAGAGCTTAGGAATAATGTAGTGATGCTAGGGGTTCCTTATCGAATGAATGAAAATCTAACACAAATAATTGAAAAAATGGGAAACGAACTCCAAGTTGATTTAGCAAACCAGAAGTTTTCAGCGTTGAGAATTGGAAAGAAGGAAGACCTTAAACCTAGCCCAATTAAAATAAAATTTGAAAATGAGGAAACCAAAAACAAGATATTGAAATCCCCTCGTAAGATAAATTTAAATACCAGGTCATTAGGATATACTACAAATAACAAAATATTTATTAATCAAGATCTCACTAAAAGGAACTTAGATCTTTACAGACTCTACAACCAGCTTTCGAATTTCTTTATTCCACGTCAGGTCCTTAAATTGAATAAAAACTGCTCAATATCATTCAATTTGTCATTGTTAATTGGGAATCCCATATTGCATTTTTCAGAAAAACTTTTGTTCGTTGCTTGCTCTACTAAATAAAAGTTTGTCAACAAAAAAGAGTATTATATTCTTTTAAGCACAATTACATTTGCCAAAAATAGCCCAGTATAGTAAATCTTTATATTTAATGTATAATATACCGGTCTGGCAAGTGAACATCTTACAGGCCAATTTTGATGCAATAGAATGTTCAGTAGAGAACGAAAACGGAAAACGATTTCCCCTGTTCTACCTCCAGAATGGAGCGCTGGGAATGCTGGAGGTGCAACAGGGGGAATCGTTTTGGTTCTCTATTTAACCTTAGACGTTTTCTAGACATTCCATTCGAATACATCAAAATTGGCCCGTAAGATGTTCACTTGCCAGAACTACATCATTTTTCTGATAAAATGACACCATTGGCACCTTCCCTTTATCAAGATTGCCACGGGGAGCTATTTTTGTACATTGTGCTCCCGAACTATATAGCAATAACCGGAAAGGCTCATCAACTGTTTGAAGATTACCTGGAACAAAGAACCCAGAAAGTTACTCTACAAGAAGAATCCAGCGATCCAAAAACATATAACGGAGTCCCCAGGGGACAGTGTCAGGTCCGATTTTGTTTAACATTTATCTACATCGACTTTTCGAAGTTGATATAGACGGAGAATTTCTTAGCTTTGTGGACGACACGGCAATCTATTTAACAGCGAATAATTGGGAAGCTTTGAGAGACAAGGCCGAGAAAGAAACCGACAAAATAATACATTTTCTTAACAAAATGAACTTGACTGTTAATTTTTTTAAAACTTACTTTTTGCCTTTTACTTCATGTGCCAACAATCTACCTATATTCGATACGCTAAATTTATATCATAATGAAAACTGTGATTGTCCACCAATGTCTATAGAAAAAACTCTTAAAATAAAATATATCGGTATCTTTATCGATGCTCACCTCCGCTGGGATGCACATATAAAATTTGTAACAAATAAAATAAGGTCGCTATTGCATAGGTTTAAACATTTGAGAACATTTTTAAAAATAAAACAGTTACGTATGCTATATATCAAGCTCTTGTAGAGCCCCATTTATCATATCATATCATATCATATCATATCATACATACCTACCCATGTATAGTAGGTACCTATACAGAATGTACCACCAGTAATCAAGTCGATCTATACGTCATGAAAAACTGCATTTGGAAAAATTTTGAAAATTTCACAGTGTCGAATATCAATGTGGACAGCCCGGCTTAAATATCTTCAAGATGGTGGTTCTTCCGGTTATTGTACAATATCACAATTAGAGACTAAATCGACGTAAATCTTGGAACCAAGCGCTGTTATTACTGATTATGAAAGTACCTGTGTAAACCTAGCTTATCAAGGAGTACAAATATCCGATTATATAAAACCTTAATCCGAAAGTTGAGACGCTCTTAGCAACATTTGAGACAAAAATCATATATTGTTCCTGAACACTGCATAACAACGCAGATGCCTCATCCAGGTGACCATTCCCAGTTCAACGCTAAGCACTTTCTCAGAATTAACCAGCGTGAAGGAGTTTCTGTTAGAAGCCTTCAATTTGAAAAAGATCAAGAATGTAGTTCCAAACAGCAGTGTGATCAATTAGAAGATATTATACCATTTTTGAACCTAAAGGAAACCGGCAGTAGATCGCCAACAAACTGAAAACAAGAAAAATCCGGCTAGCGAAGAAAGAGAAAAACAGGAATAAGAAGATTGGTGCGATACCACTGCTGATCTAGAATGGTCAATATTTTTCTTCAAATAAGCACTCTACAGAAACCTACGATGAGAAATACTACGACTACGACTACGACTACGACCGTTTACGCGTGCCCAGGAAAGGCAGCTGGCAGCATATAGCAGTTAATTAGGGGCAAGTGGCCATTCTTCTATTGCGCGTGAGCTCAGTGCATGACAGGAAGAGCCATGCAGGCGTGAGGGCAGGGCTGGATGGACAGAAAGGCAGTCATTAAACAGGCATAGAGATGTTAAAAATGTGGATAGTTGGGACGATAAAAATGATTACGGGTATGACGATGAACATATTAGATATTAATATTAATTCAGTAGGTATATGAAATTGGCTCTGCTAAAACATATAGTCTACGTTCTAACGTCTCTGAAAGGCTGGCAGTAGGGGGATAGAAAATTATAGATATGATCTAGTGGAGGAATAGGCGTAGATTTCTCGGCTGAATGGTTTCATATAAAAAGCGAGTAGTTTGTTAGTTTGGGTAAGTTAGTTTCGATAAGAGGATTGTTGTATCGGTTAAGCAAGTCAATATTTTAATACAAAGAGTTGTTGTTGTGAGTGAAGAGAGTTTGTGTGGAGACGCGAAATTCGTAACAATAACAATTCCTAGTCGAAGGAAGCCAGAAAAAAAGTATTATCCACGTAAAATCAATTAGAAAAGAACTAAAATGCGCTTTAAAAATTGTCAATATCAATACTATGCAACCCACGAGACTCGTCACTTTTTGTTAGTTGGCAATGCCACAGGTGTAAAACGGAAGAAATGTTGTAATTGTGTACTGTACAAGGTAGTAGAAATGTAATAGTAGTTGGTTTGCAACGAAGTTTTTTGGTATGCTTACGTTAAAGTTGAATAGATTGTGCTTAAATTCGCAGTGTTAATTTTTCGCTGGGCCCATAACATTTTTTTATAGCTAACGTAATTTTGATTGAAAAAAGAAATTAAAAAAATTAGTTTCTAGTTTAAGTAGCTACGGAAGATGAATATTGAAATACCCTAATTCAAATTATTTTCAAAATACAAAAAAATACTCCCTATATAAATACAAAATTGGAGGACCGTATCAAAGACCGTATAATGTACGTACCTACTTACCTGCAGATTTTTCCGGCGAATCACAAATAAGACCATTCAATCTGTTTGAACTGTAAGTACTTATCCATTCATACATTCTTTTGAGTCGTTGACAATCACATCTCCATGGGTTGTCCTTAATAATAACATTGAAAGCCCTCGGAAAATAAGAAGGATCAATGGACGTCAAGGCATTACTTGCTAAGTTGATTTGTCTCAAGTAAAACATTTCTTCAAACGTTTCGTTATTTAATGTCCTTATCCGACAGAAACTAACATCAAGTATACTGAGACTTCTTGCTATTAATCTGTTGGGAAGTGTAGTAATAAAGTTTCTTGACAGTATGAGGGTTACTAAATTTGGCATGAGTTCCAAGCTGTATCTGTTAAGTTCGTAGATTTCACAAAAGCTAGCTATCAGCATTTTCAGTGACTTGCTGCTTATGGTGTCCAAAGATTTTATGTAGTTATGCGACAAATTCAAATGCGACAATGCTGAATTGTTGTTTAGTAATCTTTCGTCTAACGTCTGTATCTTGTTGAAAGATAAATCAATGCTGATTACCTGAAAAAGTGAAAACATTATGGATATGTTCATTTGAGGAAAGAATTTTAAGATTTTAAATGGATTTTTATTATAAAATTCGCTCTGATATGTTTGGACCATTATAATTTATCGACCGGGTGATTTTTACTATTTACAGTATGGGTAAATTATTTTATCAAATTTTTTTTAAAATATTTCTATATATCCGATAAAAGCTTTTTTTTGCTCTTCCGTTCCCTTTCCCTCCTGTCAAGACTCAGTTGTACTCAGGTATTGAAACATCCCGGATATGCACACAAAAAAACACATGCCTGTGGTATCTAACTACTGAGTTTGAGCAGGTTTAGGTTGGAGTTAGAATCCTATTGGTGCCGATCTAGCCGCCATTTTGGAATATTTCCTTCCTGATCAATTCTCTTGAAAAAATGGAAACGCTTTTTTTTAATGATTTGATTAGCTGGGAAAGCAACTTAGGCGGTCGAAAAACAAAATGCTGATTGATCCAGTTGAGTTTATAAACTTTACTTATCACTTAGCGATAGCTATTGCTCAACTGTAAGTACACAACCCAAACAACATTGGGTTCGTAGACTAAACATTTCCCGTCCTGGCGATGCTTGTCCGTTACACTACCTTCCGCTCAAATCAGATCGTCCCGATCTGGGTTTGTCACCATTATCTCCTATGTCATCTATTATCTACCACCTCTCTACAAGCATCAACTTGTCTTCGGGACGATTGATTGATCTATGTTCTTGGCCATACTTGTAATCATCCTCATACTTCCATTCATATACTTACTTAACATTTCTATGCCTGCCAAATGAATCCCCTCTAGGATGGTCAGCCATTCAACTTCTCTTCTCCTTGGAATGACGTTGCGGAAACTAGAAGAATGCCTATATGTTGCCTGCCATGATACCAGCTGCCTTGTCTGCGCCTAAGCGGACGGTCGTAGAACTCGTTCTGTTGAGCGGCGGTTTTGAAGGATAATTTAACATTCTGGACCTGCAGTCGTACCTATTCCATCAATAATCTTGTTCATGGTTCTTATTTCTTAGCTGCTCGGATTTTTCTTTTCTTCAGTTTGCCGATTTTCTTAATGTTAAAAATGATTCGTTATCACTTTCTAGTAATTGATATCCGTTCTCGGGCGGTTTCAAATTGAAGGCTTCTTACTGGAACTTTTTCACGTGTATCAATTCTGCGATAGTTGTTTCCTTGATCTGGTCATGGTCGACTGGATCTGCGCTGTTACGCAGTTCACCAGAACGATGTTCGGCTATAAAATCATACCGTTGCAACTTCTCAATCGAAAGCTGGGAGTGAGGAGAGTGAGATCTCGGCTATACTCTACAATCACACTTTAGTCCGGTCAGGTTTTTATTGCACGAAGGTGTGACTGTTTTCAGTCGGAACGCTAAAAAATGTGCCAGTGTCACGCGGTTGACGTAAGTGGCATTACCTTATTTTCAATTATTATTATTTTCTAAATATGGTTGTTAAGTACGGTTGCTAGATCTGTCCCTATTTGGTCTTTATTTATGTAGAAACATACTAAAAAAGGAGAAAAAACAACCACGAGGTAGATAATAGATTACACATGCGCATAAATTATTGTTGAAAAGAAATTATTTACAACAAAATTTAGAATCTTTTAAAATATACAGGCTGTCTCTTCGTCTTCGTCATCGCTACTTGCTCCGTGATTTGATTTTTTGATAGATTCATTGTTTTCACATTCATTTCCTTGACATGAATAGAGTTCTGTGCACAAATCATCATAGGAAAATTTGCATGAGCGAACGCATTTTTTTTACAAGAGCGTTTTGTCACTTCAAAAATATTAGCTGGAACATTATTTTCCTTTTGAGATAAAACGTGAGTGCGTACCTAAATGGGCCTTCAGGCCAAAGTAGCATGCGACGTGCGACTTGCTGCTATAAAGAAGGAAGCACGTTGCAACTTGCGTCTTTTATGTTTACATTTATACCAAAGTCGCACAGTGCGACCACAAGTACAGTAATCAACACAACGTTTGTGCGTCTTGCATATTCGTCGCAAACTATCAAAATATAGGACTCGTTTCAATTCCAAGTCGCACGATGCATGTTGCCACGTCGCAATTTTGCGACTCCACTCCGGTGTGAAATCTGCCATATATTTCTAAAGGTTCTAAGTTCTAAAATAAGTAGCATGCTTCTTGCTTTCTAGCAGCAAGTCGCACGTCGCATGCTACTTTGGTGTGAATACCCATTAAGAATAATTAAATATATTTACTCAGTAAGTGGTTTCAAATAGCGGAAAATTTTCTTCGCATTTGTTCCAGATAAACGCCTGATAATGAGTTCGTTTTAAAGCTCTTATCAAGGAAGGTCTGGTTGGAGGTAACATGTCGTGTGTTAGCTGCTTATTGGATAAAAGATTCCTCTATAGAAGTTCTTCAATGTCCGTTGAAGCTGTACCTATTTGATGGAAATACTTGGCAAATGAATTTTTCAAGTAATGTTAAGTTTTGAACGGTAAACGATGATTCATTTCCAAGAGCATTCCAAAAGGCTATCCGAAATGTTTTCTCACCATTTCTATAATAACATCCGGTTTTATCAGATCCGGAAATAGCGTGAAATCCTAATAGTGCTGATGTTCTCGATGTTCCATTGCGAGCTATAGTTGATAAACGAATAATTCTTGATGTCTTGATTTCTCTCCTATTCCAGTGTGAAAATAAGTTTCGAGTCCAAGTTTGTAGGATTTGTTTGTGGATTGAAGATTGCATTTGGAGTCATTACATCTTGTTCCAGTCGCTCAAGCACTACTACCTTTCCAGATATTTTGTGCGTGACTCTTCTTCTAGTTGGTGTCCAAGGCTTCTCGCAAAGGAGGCCAGCTTTCTGGGTGGTAGAGTGCCCCTCTCTTGGGGTGTTAGCCGTACCCCTTCAAGGTATTGCAGCCTTTTGCAGAAGTGAGCAGGGTATTTTTTCTGTAGTTTCTGTTGCTTATTCGCAAGATCTCAGGGGTCTTTGTCTGATTTGCCTTTTCTTTTTAGGTGATATTTCACCAGACAGTGTCCAGTGAGCAGACCAACGACTGTTCTACTGTATCTTCTGTTCATGTCAAGAAGTTGCTGCTGAGATGGATATGAACCTGGGGGGGGGGGTGTGACATTTCTAATTTTCCCAACTTTTTTAAAACATAAAAAAAAATCATATGTGCATCGGACACATGTTAAGAAGTGAAACTTCCTAAAAATTATTCCCTCCCTCATACAACTTTTAGACTTGGCGCATGAGTCGGGATATAAAGACAAAAGGCTACACAAAAGACAAACGCGCATGTGTTATGACGTCACAAGGGTATCGGCGCTTGACATTTATAGGGAATCCTCTTTTCTAATGATCCTTGACTTGTGTCAATCGTTCGTCGGCTGTCATTGCCATTGGCTGTCTTTTTCCGTCTCTCTACGGGCCGGTTTCTCAATAACGAGTCACCTCCGGGTTGGTTGTAACTCCAGGGTAAGCGTGTCCAGTTGCTATGTTTACCCTGAAGTTATGCTTAACCCGGGAATGACCTGCTATTGAGAAACTAGCCCTACGTTATATCTTTCTTCTCTCTAGTCTCTCGTGAACGAAATTTGCCAAAACGTGTTGACACTCTTCATTCTCGTCCAAATCAGACCCCCCTTAAGAAGTTTCACTTCAAAAAAAATCATGTGTAGCATCGTACACGTGTTAAGAAGTGAAACTTTTCAAAAACCATACCCTCCCTCATACAGCATTTAGACTTAGCGTATGAGTCGGGGTGAAGACGAAGGGCCACACAAAAGGGAGACACAAGAATATCGGCGCTTGACAATAAAAGGCAATTCTGTTTGCTTATAATCCTTGGATTGTGTCAATCGCTCCTCGTCTGTCATTATCATTGGCTCGCTTTCTCCGTCTCTCTACAGTCTACGTGATATGTTCCTTCTCTCCCGTCTCTCGTGTAACAAAATTTGCCAAAACGTGACGTTACGTGATGCGTCTTTTAAATCACTTTCCATATTCTCGTCTAAATATCAGACCACGGCCTAATAGTCCAGGAGGTGGCGTCAAAAATATGCAAGAGTTTTCTGAAGCCTAATATTTTCAAAATAGGTCGTACTTTAGTGATAAAAGCCTGTTTACAGTCAGCTCTTACAGTTCCGGGACAGCTGGCGCTGGGACGCGCGCAAAGTTTCTAGTTAAGTTAATTTTGAGAAGCATCTCTAAACTGCTTTTTCAAAGCGCGAAATGTATATACCACGAGCAAATATAATATAAAATAGGAATTTAATAGTCAGACAGCGAAATATGTGGACACATAGCGTCAGCGCTACTCCATACATGTCATAAAAATGTTAACACACACACACACTTCAAAAACTGATGAAAAGATTGATATTCCCGATCTACAAATAATAGGTCTGTTTCTGCAGAAATCACAAACCAGTCAGAGCGAATTTCATTGGTTGAAACTAGTTTTCTGACTGTTTCTGACGGTTTTCAACCAATGAAATTCGCTCTGACTGGTTTGTGTCTTCTGCAGAAACAGACCTATTATAATCAAATAAAATAAACACTTGTAGTATAACATACCCAGGTTCGCTCACTAAGATTGAACGATGAGAATTTTTATTACCTTTTAAACAACAAATCTTCTGAAAAATGACATGAAAAACAAATAGGACCTACGTTGTCGAAACTTACTCAATTTTACGTACTGGACATGCGCCCGACATAGCAAATATTTGGGAAATTTAAGAGAAGCTGTAATATGTAAAAGAAACGCAAAATTTGTGAAACGCCTCCTTTATTTTCAAAGAAAAACGTACCGTTCTCGACCTGGAATAAACGAGTAAAAAGAGAACGGAAGAGAAAACCTTGATTCCCCAAAAATCGAAACATACTGTGTCATTTTAATAATAATTGTGAGTCAATAATTCAATAATTTAAGGCAATAAAAGTTCAAATTAGGTACCGCCCCTGTTCTTGTGCTAAAATTTCAATTACACACACTACATTCAATCAACACTACCTATATTCTAAACTGAAGAGTTTTTGGTTAGTTAGCCCATCTGTGGCGGGTACCGAGGTCCCTTGTTACGGAAATCTCACGGCTATAGTTGTTTTTGAGCCAATATCTCTAGATTGATTTTTCTCAATTTTGCTAGGATATTCTCTCGTCAGGGTAGGAAAATGTTAGCAAATTCAATAAAGCTCTAATGCACGCTCTGAATACACAAAATCAAAATCTCAGCACAAAGAGACAGCACATAATTTCTTAGGTTTTAATTTACTCTTTATCTGTGTTGTTTACAGTATGAAACGATTTTGGTTAAATACATAAACAATGCACATGTTATAAAAAATGTTATAAACAAACAAAAATGCATAAAAATGAACAAAATAATAAGAACTTGCATAAATTGAACTCTCAAAAACAAAATAATATTTAATCCACTAACCTATACGTTCCTTAAACACACACACTAATAACAAATTGAATTGAACAATTAATTTTAATGCAAAATAGGAATGAAAATTGAAAAATGAATAATTACAGACGCGCCACAAGCGTCTAAGGGCCCAGAGCATTTTCTTCTGTCGTCTAGTTGCGTATTCTTCTGTGTCCCGTTCGCTTCGGTACCTTCGTGTTTCTGTGGGGCGCTCGAACGCGGCGGATACATGGTTGCAACATTTTACTTTTATTCAGTAAACGTTTTTTAAAAGTTAAAATTTTTAGAAATAATATTTTAAATAGATGGTTTTCCTCACACTGTATAAAAAAACGTGTATAAGAAAAATATTTGAAAAACCCAAAAACTATTTCTTCAACTCAAGAGCACAGGATTCAGAGCTTGAAATCTGAATAGCGAGCGAAGAATACGCAGAAGACAACATAAATAAGAAGTTTGGATTATCTACTATACTATATTGTCCATCTCTCTCAAACACAGCGCGCTTGCAACAACAAGCTATATAGATATAACTACGTCGGTCGTCGGTCTTGACTCTTGAATAGTGAATAGTGCTAGTGGCGCTAGTGCCACTCCTGCCACGAGTCACAAGTGCCACGTGCCACTGCAACAAGCTAGTCAAGTAGCACTAGTGCAGTGCAAAGTGCAACGCAAGAGATAGCCGCGACCATTGGGATTCGTCATCCTGTTGTCCGGTGATTTTGCAATTCATGACGACACGCGACACGTTCCTAATGTTAATTTTAATTAGTTCTCGCAAATAAGGTGCGTAAATTTTTGTCTACCAATTTTTCCCAACTTTAAATTTTTTATCCAAGTTTTCCCAACTTTCGATATATTTTAGGAACTTTGGGGGTGGGCGTTGCCACCCCAACCCCTCCATGGCTCCGTCCCTGTTTGCCTGTCTCAGATCCGGAATGAATCTCTATTGAACTAGCATTCGGTCCTTCTCCCATCTGTTCATTTCTTCGGAGACGTGGCTTTTCATTAGTCCACACAAAGGTCCTGGGCCTTGAAAAGATGTGACAGCGCCTTTGCTTTGCGAGACGGTCTGCCTTCTCGTTGCTCCCTATGCCCTGGTGTTCTGGCACCCATATCAGGGTTACTTTGTTTCTCCCAGCCAACTGGCAACAAGTTGCTTAAGGATATTTTTACCCTCCTACCTAAACTAGCTGCGAATGCACTTGATGGCTCCTAAAGCCTTAAGAGCCTTGACTGTTGCACAGTATGTGAATGTGCTTTCTTAAAAGGCCTCTTTTAAGGATCTCTTGGGCACAGATGTAACTTCAAATGAAAGATCAGTACCTAGGCCTAAATCTTTTGTCTAGAATATAGGCTATTCCAGACAAAAAGATATAGGTGAAGAAGAGGCAAGTTCAGTAGTGCCTCTAAGGCTGCGGTGGAGCAGGTTGAATTAGCCCTTGTTATTTCTAGACAGATCAGCCGTTGAACTTTACGTAGACTGTCCTTGCAGTAATTTGCACGTTATTTTTAATACCGGTTGTGGGCGAAGCTAAGATATTTTCTGTTCTCGAGTCACATTTCAACTTTTCAATTTTGTTGTGAACACTATCCATGTCTTGGCGAAAGGCTCCAACTTCTTTACCTACTTCCATTGCATTCTAGAATTTATTATCTTGCTCAATGAAGTCCACATACATGTGTTTAGTGTTGTATATTTACCATAGAATATTTAGTACCAATCTTATTATGTAGAACACACCCTGTGGACTTGGTTTTCGATAGCTCAAATTAATACACTTATTGTCTTGCTTACTATTCCACCAATTAGCTTAAACTTCTCACTAATTATGTTGCCAGCTATTCCATTATTCAGCACACATTAATGCACCAATGAACTTGCTAATAATATCACTTCTGACATAGAATTGTGACGGATTCCGGTTTCACTAAAAGCTCACTTTACCAACAATAATAGCTTTTATTGAATAAATTGACTTTGTAGACTTTACTCATCATTTTTACTTAGCTGTACACAAAAAATCTCTTCCTTATACTAAATAACTGGATTACAAGCTACGCGATAATTACGCCGAAAATAGTAATCAGGAATTATCTAGCAACAAGAATCAAGGGAACATATTTACCAATTTGAATACACAATGGAACAATGGGATGCCCAAATACCTAATCATATTTTTTTCAAAAAGGTATATCCATGCTTTATTCCAAAGAAGATCAAAAACTTTCTGACATATTGACTATAATAAACACAGGTAATTTCAAGATTGCGACTAAAGCGGCACCTCTATAAGGTTTCGTCAACTTGAATCCTGAATGAGGTATAAATGACCCATAAATGATGCATATATTGTCGAACTGGAAAATTAGTTTTGTAATTCGAGTGATATTTTGCAAAAATTACGATTGCATGAGCAACAGTCTTTTCAAATACCTCATAGAAAAAATGCTATTGGTAGAACGGTACTATTTTTTCAATGTCTCATGATAAGGATTTTTCGATTGGAACGTAGATGCCATTAGGATAGAAGTTTCGCGATTACAAAATCGACACAACATGTAAGACTTACCTCAGTCAAACCTTCAAATCCCCTCTCATGAATCGTTGTTAAAGAGTTTGTTGATAAGTTTAAGACTTGTAGGCTTTGAAGTTTAGTGAAACTACCTGCTGATATACTCCTTAAGTAGTTTCCTGATAAATCCAATCTTAATACTTTTCGTAAACTTCCGCTTGGAATTCTATCAAGCAAACTGTCTGATAAGTCTAAATACAAGAGGTGATCTGAATTGCATAAAAATCGTTTTAAAAAAATGTTCTTGCTTAGAATTAACATTTCTAGGTTTGTAAGTGCGGAGAAAACATTTTCTTCCATATAATTTAATTCACATTGACTTAAATCTATAAGTCTTAGACTTTCTATTTGAAAAGTGTCATTTATACTTGTTATTGGATTATCAGATAAATACAACTCCTTCAAATTTGCCAATCTATTAAAGACGTTAACGGGAATTATTCTCATTGAACAATTGCTTAATCGGAGTATCTGTAGGGATTCGATGTATAGATGATTAGAATACCGAGGAATGCTTCTCAAAGGATTATGCGAAAAATCAAGAAACTGGAGATTTTTTGTTGGCAAAAATGTACTAGAGTGAATATCTTTCCAGTCATGAAATAAATTAAACTTCAAATCAAGCGTTTCTAATTTCTCCAAGCCCATCAAATCTGAATATTTTAAAGTGGATATTTGGTTGTTAGATAGATTTAAATATTTTAATTCGCCAAAAGCGTCCATATCACCAGGAAATGCTGAAAAGCGATTGTGCGACAGGTCCAGGCTGATAATCTGGAATGAAAAAAAGGATTAGATTAGTATTTTATGAGGTAAAATGATCAAAATTAGAAAAACACAACATGACAAAAACGATCTATTTTCTTTCTATATCGTTCCCTGTTTCCGCCTCTTCTATCATCGTATTCCGAATTCAGATTATTAGAGCAATCAGTAAATTGTTGGTATTTATCGCAAGTTGCGGGTTGATGTAGCAGGCAAACCGTCTTTTGCAGGAAAAACTCTAGAATTCCCTAGAGCAAATTTGTATAAGGGCCGCTCTATGCCAGATGAGTCATCTTTTCAATTTATGTGCAGCTGATATGTATGCTGATTTTACTATTGAGGCAAACCACCTATTTGAAATATTATTTCTTCAAATTATTACATGCACATGTTATTTTGTTTGGAACTTCGAGGTTAGTTTAGACCTATTTATTGCTGGAGAAAATTATTCACAGAATTTAACGAGATGTCAAACTCGACTCTCCTGCTAGTTTTGTTGCGGACGAGAGTGTACCCGACGCTTCCTCTGAACATTTCGAAGGAGAGGCTAACAACCAACATGGGATCGTACCAATGGCTCCCACAATACCACCTGATCACAATCCAGAGATACAGGAGTTACGGGAGATGTTCCGTCAACAGACGAGCCTGCTTACTACTGCCATGCAGCAACAAACTCAAATAAATGAAACTGTACTCAAGATCACAGCTACTTATACACTAGCCAATACCAGTAGTGACCAAATTAACCATGATTTGAATGACAATCTGCCAGGAAATGATAGTACAGGGGCCGACTGGAAAAGTGCAGCGTTAACCTTAACTGCTTAGTGTTATTGCGTGAATGTCTCACATCCAATGCGGCAAATAAAATTATTTATAGGTTTTGTCCTTTATTATCAGGCCCACATAGAGTCGTTGGTAAGCCTCACCCAAATGTTTACACTTTTAATTTTGAGACTAATACAAGAAAGGAAAATTATAATGTTAAGAATTTAAAATTCTATTATCGGTCTGAACCATAGCGTTAGTTTCTGTCTGTTGTGCTGTCTTTTGTGCAGGGATTTTGATTTATGTTATTCAGAGCGTGCATTAGGGCCTTGTTGAATCTACTAACACTTTCCTACCCACCCTGACGAGCGAATATCCTAGCAAACAAATTGAAATAATCAATCTAAAGATATTGGCTCAAAATAACAACTATAACTGAGTAGCCTCCCGTACGGGACCTCAGTACCTGCTGGTGGAACTGGCTAACTAACCAAAAACTCTTCAGTATTGAATATAGGTAGTGTTGATTGAATGTAGTGTGTGCAATTAAAATTTTAGCACAAGGACAGGGCGGTACCCAACTAAATTATTATTGACAATTATTATTTATTAAAATGACACAGTAAGTTTTGCTTTTTGAGGAATGTTAGTCGAGGGTTTCTTTGCCGTGATCTTTCCCCTCGTGAAATCCAGGTCGAGAACGGTACGATTTTCCAATAATAAATAAGACGCTTCACAAATTTTTCGTTTATTTTACATATCAGAAGTTCCCTTAAATTTCCCCAATTTTGCTATTGTCCTGTCGGGCGCATGTCAAGTAAGTAAAATTGAGTGAGTTTCCACAACGTAGGTCCTATTTGTTTTTCATTTCGTTTTTCAGAAGATTTGTTAAAAGAAGGGATAATAAAAATTCTAACCGTTCAATCTTGCTGAACGAACCCGGGTATGTTATACACATGAAGTTCTGATTTGATTTAATTGTAATAGTTGTTAAGGTCTATAACTTTAATAATTGGCGTCGAGCTGTTGATACCTCTAAAAATAATTACAAAAGTAAATAAGTTAAATCTAGCTTTAATTTTGTCATAGTTGACATAATCCCCTCTTTAACATTCAGTCGATGTCTTCTTGTATCATTGAAATAGATATACTAGTTTTGCCATTTGTACAAGGCTGTCATGATTTTTAATACCACATAGCTCTGTGAAACCACTTAAAACACTGAGAGTAGAGATTTTATCTGCATTAACTTGCGCTGACATTACACATTTTTCCATTCGATGCTCTGTTAGAATACCTACTATCTATTTCGACTTAAGTAATTCGTACGAAGCTATTCTGCAGCTCGAACGTCCCTCTTGGATATATTTTTTGTTCTGCCTTGTTTTCACGTGGACTTTCATGATGAGCCTGCATTGCAAACCAGAAGGTGTCAGCATTGGCATATTTTTGGATCGCACAACAAGATTCTTGAGAATATATCTGAAGATCATCAATGAACAATGAACCAATACTGTTATTACATTGTGTTTCTCGAGAACACTGGTCACAAGTTACCTTTGATAATATAATCGTTCACAAATTGAACAGAACAAACTTTCACATGGTTTGATGCTGGTTTCTCTATCTTCGACTTCTATATCGAATATTGTCTTCCTAGGAGGAAATTGGTGGAGAGATAAATAATTTTTATTTTCTATTCAGGGACAGGATTTGCATTGTGGAACACAACAATAATAATTAGATATTGGGTTATTTCAATGGATAATAAAGAACAAAAACGCAGGCCCAAATTAACAAACAATGGATAAATAGATAGGTCGCCCTATAATTCCTACAGTTTGGAAAAGGAGGTCAAAAGCTTGCGTCCTAGATAATACACTACACAAATTTCTGCAGAAGGAGGCAGAAAGTGGCAATTCTTTTGCTATATTGGAAAACTTACTTCCAGTAAAGCTGTGTGGTTGAGAATATATAATCATTCGCGCACATGAAGCTCACGGAGAAACGATAATAACTGAGAGTCTAGAGTTCTCGACGTACCTCGCCAAATCTAGATAGGATATGGCATACTCGAAGCTCCGCTGTGGGTTAGTGCGGAGTGTTGTATTTCCTGAGCAATAGGAATTTCAACAATCGCGATGACCATGGCAGTCATATAGCTATAGGTAAGCATATAACTGAACCCTAATCCAACATTGATCTACTAGGGAGAAGCACAGCCTGGAACTGAATACATTAGAGAAATGTTTGTAGTCCGTAGAATGGTTGTTCTGAAAGAAATTTCCCATCAAAAATAACTGACCTTAACTGTTAAAAAACTATTCAAAGTCTAGCCATCTCTCAAGTAATTGAAGTGACCAGTATTGAGCTTCCGAGAGTCAGAAACTACGTCGCACTAGGAAGTGTGATGATTGAGTCTTAGCTGCACACCACTGACTGATCGTATCGATACCTTCTGGATGGAGTTGTGCACAGACGGTGGTTGAATATTTGCAGACCGCCAGCGTAGGCAACTCTGTTGCAGTCTGGCAGGGATACAATTTCGTTGAAAAGAAGTGGACTCAGGTTGGAACCTTAGGGAACGCCTGCCATTAGAATAAGCAGGTCTGACCTAAATCTCTCCCTGACAAAAAATGGCCGAAGAGGTAGAACTTTTATACAGAAACAAGCTTGTTAGAGAAATAGAACTGGTCAGACGTCTCCTGCAGCAGCATGTAATGATCCATTTGGACAAACGCTCTTCGAAAGTCAGTGTGAATAACATCGACTTGCCGTGTATGATTCGTTATACACGATTTTATGGAATTAAAGCCTTGTTGGTGAATTGATAGCCTGTTTTTAATTTCAGTTAACGCAGAGAGGTTACATTCGGTACATTCAGGCGGTGCCAGCGGCTAAGTTCAGCCACTCAGCAGGAACTTTATTCGCGAAACAGGGGAGCAGCGTTCTTATGAGAACGAAGGTTCTGTCTTCGTCGTCCGTATAACACTGACAATGCAATCGTTCTCATGAGAACGCTGTTCCTCGGTTTCGAGAATAAAGTCCCTGCTGAGTGGCTGAGCTTAGCCGCTGGCACCGCCTGAATGTACCCAATGACTAGAGATCAATCATCCTTTTTGAGATTAGGGCCAACTGAGTGATCGTGAAAATGCCAATAGTCTGGGAGAGTTTAGAATTAGCGAGAAGTTGAACTTGCTTCGAGTTCCAATAGACATTTTTGAAATAGTCCGCAAACGCGGCGACCATGTTCTGAGGTCGATCAGAAGGACGCAATGCGAGATAAGGCATTCTTATTCTGAATGAAGGACCAAACACTAAAAAGGTAGCGGTCAAAATCTGACTCAGCAATTCAGATGAAAGCTTTGTAGTCTTGTTGAGATCGTATTTTGATCAACTTGCACAGCGATTTGAACATTTCAAGGTAATAGGTAGATTTGTGAGCTTGTAGGTCTCGATGGATGTTGAGAATCAAGTCGATTATCAATTTATCTGGTAAATCAAGGAAAAATCGCCTTAGCCTAGGCAATTTTCGAGGTAAACAGGTAGACAATTTATCATCAAACATGATAGAAAGATTAACAGGCGTTAGCAAAGTCAGAGGATTCAGTAGGGACTGCTTAGCATCAGTCCTACAATATAGGCTTTACGAAAGTTAAACTGGAGTTTATTGAAGTTACCATTACTCACAAAAAAGTTGGACACATGAGAAAGTGCTACACGAGAGATTTAAAGCGGACTGAAGAGATGCACTTCCTCGCTGAGTAGAGGTGCGACATTCTGCGCTCATTTAATTCTAAAGTGGGTAAAAACAAGCTCAAGAAAATATTGTTACACTCTGGAATTGTGGTGAGCTGTTTAGGGCTAAGAAACTCACCAAAGCTCAGCAAGCCTTTATGTTCGGAACCAAGAGGAATAGATGCAGAAAATCTGAGAAGGAGGGACCATTGAAATAAAAATTAGGTTTTCTTAAAGCACTATAGTTATTGACGGAGGGAATTCAAAATGACTCTGCTTCTGCACGAGTGATGGAGCGCAATATGTATATAATGAATACTAAAAACACCAAATTATCCAATGCCAAATATTCTGGCAGTGGAATTTAGCGTTGATGGAATAATATAGCGAATGGAGGAGCAATCGAGTTTTTTCATTTATCGAAGATTCCTATAGAAGAGAATTGTCTAGACAATCACAAGATAATTAAAACCGTATAAAAGCAGCCCGCGACTTCAATG